ACCGGAAAAGAATATTCAATTTTTTTGGATTAATTTTTGAAACCATTAGGAAGCTTTTCGATTTTTAGATAAATTATTTCACCCGTCTAGTGACAAAAATTGTCACTCTCGTTCAACGTGGTAATGCGTGGCAACGTGGCAATTGTATGTATTTGTCAACGTCAAAATTAGACGCAACGTCAAACCCTTGCAACGTCAAAATTAGAGAGTTACTGCTAGTGAAAATTCTCTAGCTGGGGGAATACCGATGTTAGCTTGGAGGTACAATTTTTTTCGTAAGCTAAAATGGATTGTAATGCCCTATCATCTTTAACCCTCAAGGCAGTTAAGAGTTCAGAGGACAGATGNCGGCAGGTAAGAGTTCAGAGAACAAATGGACCCCCCTCCCTTCCCCAGATATAAATAAATAAAAATCAACGATAAAAAAACTGAACTCCTAACTCTGACAGCAGGTAAGAATTCAGAGAACACATGTGACCCCCCCCCCTTCCCACCCCAGAAATAAATAAATAATGATGAACAATAAAAATACTAGACACTTAACTCTGACGGCAGGTAAGAGTTCAGAGACCATGTGCAAACTCCCCCTCCACCTCCCCAGAAAGGGATAAATAACAATCAACAATAGAAAAAACTGAACTCTTTACTCTGACGGCAGGTAAGAGTTCAGAGAACACTTGTAAACTCCCGCTCCACCTCCCCAGAAAGAAATAAATAATAATCAACAATAAAAAAACTCAACTCTTAACTCTGACTCATTAATAAGTAATGATCAACAATAAAAAAACTCAACTCTTAACTCTGATGGCAGGTAAATGTTCAGAGAACAAATGGACTCCCCTCCTTTCCCCAGAAATAAATAAATAATGATCAACAATAAAAAAACTGAACTCTTAACTCTGACGGCAGGTAAGAGTTCAGAGACCATGTGCAAACTCCCCCTCCACCTCCCCAGAAAGGGATAAATAACAATCAACAATAGAAAAAACTGAACTCTTTACTCTGACGGCAGGTAAGAGTTCAGAGAACACTTGTAAACTCCCGCTCCACCTCCCCAGAAAGAAATAAATAATAATCAACAATAAAAAAACTCAACTCTTAACTCTGACTCATTAATAAGTAATGATCAACAATAAAAAAACTCAACTCTTAACTCTGATGGCAGGTAAATGTTCAGAGAACAAATGGACTCCCCTCCTTTCCCCAGAAATAAATAAATAATGATCAACAATAAAAAAACTGAACTCTTAACTCTGACGGCAGGTAAGAGTTCAGAGAACACATGTAAACCCCCCCGGCCCCTCCCCAGAATCCGACATAGCCCCAACTCTGACCGAACTCTGAACTTTCTCTGAAATGTTGGAAATATTCAAGTCTTACGCAACTCTGACGCAACTCTGAAGTCGGTCCGTCAGGGTAGTTGATGGTAAATACGTAAAAGCTCGAAAACTTCCTCCTCGTACTGTTGCTTTACTCTCATCACGTCTAGAACTAATTACTCATAATTGTCCCAGAGAATTTAATCGTAGGCCATTTTTAATGAATATGTACAGCTCATTTAAAGCTACAGAGCATCGCCAGATCCTTCTATATTCGGGCATTGTTGTTTTCTCTGGGATTTTGGATCCAGCAGTTTATATCCACTATTTACTATTTCACATTGCTATCCGCATTATGGCTACTGACTCGCCTTCACAGGAGCAGCTACAATATGCCGAGGAATTCGGAGACATTTTCATACGTCCTTCTGAGGATTTATATTCGATAGAGTTTTACTCATACAATTTACACGCGTTCTCACATCTGTTGGAGGATACACTACGATTTGGCCCTCTGGATTCATTCTCATCGTTTCCATATGAGAACAACATGAGTTATTTCAAAAGAGCATGCAGAAAACCTGATAAGCCACTGCAACAAATAGCAAACCGTCGAGCGGAATTCCGTAGAAGTTCTTGTCCAATTGTTCCCTCTGTGACTCGCCCAACATCACTTCCAGCAAGATGTCCAACTGGCCCACTACCTTCTTTTATCTCCCGCAATTGTAAACAGTATCGAAAAATTTCATTCAGGGGGTTTACCATTGCCTTAAATGATCGAGATAATACTCTAATCCTCAAAGATTCCTCCATTTGCATTGTTCAGAATATTTTCGAATTCCAAGGTGAGACATTCTTCATGGTCAAGTTATTTCAATCATCTGAAGATTTTTATATAGTTGGAGGGTTCAAAACGTCATCGATTGGTATCTTCAAATGCAGCTCATTATCAACCGAAATTATTTCTATCAAATGTCATCAAGTCCATACTAAATGTTTTAGAATGCCTCACGGGGCAGACAGTGGAGGTTCACCCAGTGAGCAACTAGAATCTGGCACTTATGTGATTGTGGCTCTCATTTCTTCAGAGAAATACGAAATTTACCACTCCGACGATTGAATTTTTAATTACTCTGATTTAATTACTTAGATGAGTGGGAGAGGAAACAAAGGAAGTAGAGGTGGGGGGAGAGGAGCTACGAGCATATCTCTTTCGGAGGCAAAGGCAAATATTAATCAAGATCTGGCTAATTTGTCACGACAAACCTTGAAGGACGTGGGGAATATTATACAGCAACCTGGCCCGACGAAACCTAGATCCTTCAACCTCAAACCTATTCCAAAGAATTCTCTGGTCTTAAGAAACCCCTCTGAATCGAAGATATCAATGAAAGACTATCAACGACCTCAGAACCCAGGAGATGGGAAGCAGTCATCCGGATTGAATGGAAAACAGAAATTGATTCCTAGTCATACCCCTCAGGAGAGTCAGCTTAATAATCCCAGTATTGGGCAACAGAAGACTTATAAACAGCCATCTACATCTAAAACACCTAATAATGAACAGTGCTCTTATTCAATGCAGAAGTCACCTCAAATTCCAAAACCCCCCTCATCAACCTCACAGCAGCGAGCAGCCTCAAATCGCACGTACCTTAAAGGACCAATCCGTATGCCAACAGTGTTGGCATCAGAATCAGTCCCTCCTCTAACAACGAACAGAACGACGAAGCCTCCCGAACATCTTGCCCCACAAAATCCCAACCAGAGACAACAGGCATCAAATCCACTCACGACACCTACTCCAGAACCCTGAATAATTGCAGCTCCCCTGGCCAGAACGGGGGATCCCCCTCGTGATTATGTCAACGCCCCAGCAGAATTATTCTTGGATGCGGTGACGTAAGAAATCAAAATATATAATCAAACTCACACATTAATAAATATTCAAAGAAACATATACTTTGGTTCCAGTGGAATACGTTCGCAGTTGGACCGCATCGAGGAATCCTTGAAGTATGTATATATATCATTAATTGTCTCAAGCGTGATTTTCACTAAGCACAATGATTATTCTCTAGGCAAATTTCTGTGGATGTGAGGCATCAGCGTCGACAAGGGCAATTTGTCATACCTGATTGTTTGAAATTCCAAACTCTGGAAGACTTAGCTAAATTCGAAGAAATTGATGAGGCAACGTATTACTACAACGGGGTAGTAAGTACATTACTGAACAAGAATTCTAAGAATATGAAAAATGCTTTCAGAATATATTTTCCAATTGCATATTCCATTGGATTTTTTCAGGTCGATTATCTAGCTTTTCTTGGGGGCAGCGACGTTGATGCTTGTGCTAAGCTGTATTTCAACGAAGCATTTGACGAGAATGAGTGGGTCTCGGATTATTATGTATAGGGAGGAGTTGAGAGAAAACAAGTGGAGCGAAAGAGACAGCAGAAAAAGATGTTGAAGAATAGTCGTTTCACTTCAGCGTGTTTTGGTGAAAATTCTATTATTTTTATTTTTTATTTTTTTTCAAGCATTTCTTAAGTGCAATATAAATTTCAGACGCAATGGCTGAAAATCGATATTTCGAGAAACCAACGAGAGATGTTTTCCATAGCTGTATGGAGAAGGCATTTAAAGCCTTGAAGGAACGTCGTCGAAAGAAATTGGAAAAACAAAATAAGGAAACTGAAAGGACTGGAAGAACTGACGAAAATACTCGTGCTGATTCACCAGCTCTTGAAGATAGGACCACAAGTCGAGGGAGTAGAACACCTCGGGGAGAAATCGAAATGGAACACGCAGAATCCTAACAGAACAGAGTTCCAAGGAATGGTAACGAATGTTTCGTTATTTATGTGATGATTCTTCCAAATTTCAGTGGCGAAGAGGGAAACCGGTTCAAATCGATTCCGTCCGGAGGTCAGTTGTCCTAGAAAAATCTCGAAATCTAAGGAAAATAGCGAAATTGCTTTGCACACGTTTTCTGTATAGCAAAATGAGACCTACAAAAAAGATCCGTACAAAAATTTCGCTATCTATCTTAAATTCAGAGATATTCTCCTGAAACTGAACTAGAAACTAAGTTGACCTAGACTGTTGTCCCTCTTCCCTACTGATTTATAACAGCTTATAAACAAGTCACAATTTATACGATCAGATTGGAGATGGAGATGATTCGACAACTAGCCTCAGTCCGGGAGACAATGATATTGGCATTACCTCTGACGACATGGAGTTCGATGGAGAAGACTTACTGCATGGAGCCACCGAAGCAGATAGTCGTCATATTATAACGGATGAAGATGCTCTCCTTGCGTCATCCATCGAAAATTTGTCAGCTTATTTTTCATAGCATAATCAGGAATGATAGAATAGCTTATCATGTCCACATATGGAGAAATCTAATAGGAAAGCCTAGTAAATTCGCATATAAATTCAACTAGTTTTCGATCGGAAGTACTTTGAAAATTAACTTTTTTCATTTTCTGATACTCTGGGAAAAATATTTCTGCTATTGAAACATTTTCTCTAGAAAATACCGGGCTCAAATTTTTCAGTTTTTTACTCATATTTTATAGTGAAAGGAACAAAAATCCACTGAGAATAAATTCGGACATTTATTTCAGGAAATTTCTATAAACAACCTTTTAGTAGAATAGCTCACATACAGAAATTAAAATCAATCAAATATTTCTGTTTCAAAGTGTAGAAATTTGGCGAATTATTAGAAATTGAATCTGCCAAGAACAAACAGGATTTTGCATGGAATTGGGATACAATTTGCTAGCGCTAGGCCTTTCTATTGGATCGAGTATTCGTGTTTGTATAATCTGTTATCCATATGATGTGTCAATAGCCCTGAAGGGAAGAGGGATAAAATGGATATTCGTTCACCTTCATTTAGTGGAGATTAACGAAGTCGATTTAAACTATTTTTTTTTAGTTCGCAAATATTTTTCCAGACTTCAAAATTATATTTGATGAATCTACATTCTACTATTGCATAATATATTGATCTAAGACGATCCATTTTACCCCATCTTCTTCTACAAACAAGAGAATCACTGTATGTACTGATATTAAGATTGTAAAGATAATAATAATGAATAAATAATGAATAAAATCGTGATTATGAATCTCATAATTGAAAATAAAATGAAACCCAAAGCAATGCAGGAGAACATTAAATTCTTACGGCACAGTGCTTGCACTGTAAAATCACCACGTGTTTCTTCTCACGAAGAGCGCCACGCAATCCTATATTCATTCAGGCACGGTGCATTTCACCATGGTTCCACAGCGTGCCTGATCTCACGTGCTCCACAGTACTGTCAATGCGGGCACGCACTAGGCCATCACAGTGATATATTTCAAATTCACCGCGTTAAGACACACTAAACGCATGGTGGAGCCACTTGGCGATCTGGGACGGTAGCTCCAAAGATTGTCAGGAATGTAAAATCGAACATATTATAATCAATAGTATAATGAATGCAGAATCTAATGATCTAAAAGTCTTTTCCTTTTTCTCGACATATTTATTATTGACACGTAGGTAAAAAAATTCATAGAAAATCCTAGCGCGGTCGCTGGAAAACTCTATAGTTTTCCAGTGATTCTATTGAATAATTGTGCAGATTTTGTTTTTTTTTACTACAGTAATGTTCGATTATATATATTTACTCCCCCCCTGAGTGAGAAAGGAATATGTATCGCGCTCGCTCCCACTCATTGTCGTCTCCGTCGCGTTGGCACGTGCCCGTCTTCCGCCAAACTTAACGAGTGCGAGTGAGAAAGAAAATGGAGAAGAAGGAGAGAGAAAACATTCCAACTCGTTTGAACGGTTGGGACGTTTTCGTTGTTCTTCAGCGATCTACACATAATGGGATTAATTCAATAATAATATATTAATGAATAATATTTTTCGCAGATTACTGCGAGATTTAGATGAATGGTTTGCCTCCGTCAGCATAAAAAATTGTCTCCAATCGACAATATCTCCCGATGGAATGGAACGATGTGATGAATCAAGTATAAATTTGAATCTTTAAAAAATTAATCGAGGGTGAAAAAAAATCCGGGAATTCCACTCTGACATTTCTCTATTATCTGTATTTACCCAGAAAAAAAACGTTGTTCCTAGGAATCGATGTGTCTTTTTTAGGCAGCTGCATTTCTGAAATGCAATGAGCAAGCAATGTTAAAATTAAGTCATTTTGTGAAAAATTTCCAGTGACATGATCCTGAAAATCAAAGGAAAGTCTTGAATTCAGGAATGATGTCTGTAGGTTTCAGTAATATTTTTGCGGAAATTCCAGGAACACTTATTGGGAATTTTTATCGCGTTGCCGTAATACAGAAATTTCAAGGAATTTCTTCATTGCAAATTAAAAATTTCTATAAATTTCAGTCCAATTATATGTGTACGTCCACGTGAAAAGGGCCCATTTTATCGCATCTAATTTCCGAGATATTCACGTTTTTCTCTCCACTCCGCTTATCCCATTGTTAAATTGATTTTTTGATCTTCTATACGGACGTCACACGGAGAAAAAAAAATGGGTAAAAGTCTTGCGATCGCAAGGAGTTTCCCGAAGATCCCCATTTTTCATGCATGAAGAACAATGAAGCTTTTTGGAATCTTCGGGAAACTCTATCCTATCCTACTCAAGTAGGAGCGGAGGAATGAATTTTCAAACGCGCAGAGTAACCCCGAACGTTTCTCCGGCGTCGAGTGAGGGCGGAGGGGCTCCGCCGATTAGAAAATTCATTTCTCCCTACCCCGCTAATTGCGAAGAGGGAATGAACGCAACATCTGTCGATCGAGAATAATATTCTCAATAAATGACAGTGATTTCATTCCCTTAGTCTCTATTAGAAGAGCAGGAATGAATTTTCAAACCTCGCAGTGACTCCCAACAAGTTCTTCTCATTCAAAAATTAATTTCTCCCCTCCCTAATTGAGATGAAGTAATGAAACCAAAGCTTACCGATTGAGAATTATATTTTTCGTAAATGACATCGGTTTCATTTCTTAATGTCAGTTAGGAACGGAGGAATGAATTTTCAAACCTCGCAGTGACTCCCAACAAGTTCTTCTCATTCAAAAATTAATTTCTCCCCTCCCTAATTGAGATGAAGTAATGAAACCAAAGCTTACCGATTGAGAATTATATTTTTCGTAAATGACATCGGTTTCATTTCTTAATGTCAGTTAGGAACGGAGGAATGAATTTTCAAACCTCGCAGTGACTCCCAACAAGTTCTTCTCATTCAAAAATTAATTTCTCCCCTCCCTAATTGAGATGAAGTAATGAAACCAAAGCTTACCGATTGAGAATTATATTTTTCGTAAATGACATCGGTTTCATTTCTTAATGTCAGTTAGGAACGGAGGAATGAATTTTCAAAAGCGCGGAGAAACCCCGAACGGCTTGCCGACGTCGAGTGAGCCCGGAGGGACCTCCCGATTGGAAAATTCATTTCTTCCACCCTAATTAAGATGAAGGAATGAAACCAATGCCGATCGATAGAGAATTAAATTCTCAATAAATGATAGTGGTTCCATTACTTAATCTCAAGTAAGAGCGGAGGTATGAATTTTCAAAAGCGCGGAGAAACCCCGAACGGCTCTCCGACGTCGACTGAGTCCGGAGTAGTCCAATGAACGAAGGTCTAACATACGAATGTTTGCTAATCAGGCTCCATTTTTGATACAATTTGTGATTTGGGCGTATGAAACTAATGGCGGATGTTTAAGGTTCCCCAAGTTGGTGCGGGGGGTGAAAAAGCCAAAAAACTACCCCTTTTTTTCGAAATAAATCGTGAATAACGCGCTGTACGTCCAAAAACGTGGTATACAAAGTTGTACAGCTCAAAATTCTACACAAGAATGTTTGCAATTCGGAATATCAGTGTTTTTTTTCAATAGCTTGTTTATTTATTCAGAGCGAATTTAATATATGTTGCTATTTATATCTTGACATTAAATCGATAAATGTCTTTTTCTTTTCTTCCATAATTTTTATTAGAACATTTACCACAAATTTTGCCTTGATCGTACCCGCGAATCTCCTATGGATTCAAAGCGAAACGCAATTTTCCAGGTCCAACCCCTCAATCCGGCGCCGGGAATACGAACCTTTTGTGCGAGAGAGAAGTCTCCGTCTCGCTCCCACTCCCTACAGCATTGGTCCGACCATTTGCGCATCCGTGCATGGCCCTGTGGAACATCACGGACTAAATGCGAGAAAAAGAATCATTTGAGGTTTTTCGTCAGCCGCTCTCTCTCTCTCTCTC